GACCCAGCACTTGGTCTTGTTGAATTTCATAGTTAGCCTCAGCCCATCGATCCAGTCTGTCCAGGTCCCTATGTAGAGCCTCCTGACCCTCAGGCAGATCAACACTACCTCCCAATTTAGCGTCATCTGCAACTTGCTGAGGGTGCACTCGATCCCCTCATCCAGATCATTGATAAAGGTGTTAAAGAGAACAGGCTCCAACACTGAGCCCTGTGGAACACCACTGGTGACCGGCCGCCAGCTGGATTTAACTCCATTCACCACCACTCTCTGGGCCCGGCCATCCAGCCAATTTTTGATCCAGTGAAGCGTACACCCGTCCAAGCCATAGGCAGCCAGCTTCTGCAGAAGAATGTTATGGGAAACAGTGTCAAAGGCTTTGCTAAAATCGAGGTAAACAACATCCACGGTTCTATCCTCATCCACTAAACGGGTCATTTTATCATAGAAGGAGATCAGGTTGGTCAAACAAGACCTGCCCTTCATAAATCCATGTTGACTGGGCCTCATCATCTGGCTGTCTTGTACGTGACGCATGATAACACTAAGGATGTTTCTTTTAATCCTAGTGTGCCAGACCTGTCTTGCAATTCGAGAGTACCTTGTACTTCCAGTTCTCTTCAAAAACCAAGCTATTGACAGGATGAAAGTGTTCCAGTTGAGAGAGGCTGTGCTAGCATGAATAGCCCCACTCCAGGTTTGTTGCTGATTGGAGATGGCAGTTGTTGTGGCTGTGGAGCATTTCTGAAGGACCGTGAAAGCATGTTCAGGCCAATTACTTCATTGTTCCAACACCCTTACAGCACAGAGGGTCATTACACTCAAAAGTAGAAACGAGTGCCCTGAATCTGTCTCTGTAATTCACCAGACAGCTGAGTGGCCTGGCTACTTGTGGTGCCTGATCAAAATTCAGCTCCCTTAATTACTTGTAGAAGGGAGGATTTTTTAGGACATAAAATTGGCAGTTAGGTGCCTAATTAATTCCCACTGTAAACCTTGTCTGTGAGCCCTAGCTGATGGTGGCAAGCAAACCTCTCACCCCGTTAGTTGGAACACTGCACTTTCTCATTGCAAAAAGTAGGAATGGTAGGACCATTGTATAGTTGTCAATCATAGTATGATATAAAACCATAGCAAATGTTGTTTGTGAGAAGCAGCTCCTGTGAGAGAAAGGGTAAAGCCATACTCCTTTATTTCTCAAGGATTTGCCTTTGACGTAAGAAGGACTTCCCCAACAAAGGGAGGAGAACTTTTTCAACAATCCCCTTCTTATCCACTGCCCAGTGACTTGAGCCCTAAAACTTCTCTATCTTCACCAGCATGCAGAGTCAGGCTTTAAATGATCTAAGCTGAGGGAAGTCAGAAACAAACAAACAAGGTGTGTCAGGTTTTCTGGTGTTAGAACTTTTTGGTGATTAGGATAAGCTGTGCAGAAAAAAGGCTATCGTTTGAGCAAGTGACTAAATTGTTAGGTAGAAAGTTTTTAGTGTACGGACATTTTGGCTACACATATGGATGTTTTGCCTAAACCTGAAACATGGCTGCTTCCATTTAAAGTAGTTTCATGGAATGGCCTGTCCCTTTGTCTCTAGTACTCTGTGATTTTTACAATGACATTTTCCTATTTAGAATATATAAATAATTCTTTTTTTCCCTCTTTTACTTTGTATGAAAGCCACAGAGAAAAAGATGAAAAAAAAACTATAGAAGGTACAGAAAGCACAACCAATTGTTTGTTGTCAAATACACTAGGTGAAAAGAGGGTTTTCTTTTTGAAGAAAGCTGATCTCTGGATACTAGCAATTACATGAACTGAAGATTGAAACAATTATTGACATTACTTTGAAGAAATTCAAGTTTTTTAGGTTGTCCATGTATTACTTGGAAATAAAGGAACGGAGAGTAACCTATTTGACTACCAAAAAGTCAGGAGTGTGCTAAGGGTTAAGAGAGTAATATAAATTTTAAATACTCCTGTATGAATAATTATGACTATCTCTAGTTGTGTTCTCCAGATTCTGGATTAAGGTGGTTTGGGTTTTTTTAATGTTATGGTAATATATGCAATTGAGAAACTGTTTCGTGAAAACTGGCGTCTTCTATACAATTCCACTTGAGATGGGCACTCAAATCACCTCACTGTTGTGGTTTTCTATTTACTGCACACAGGGTGCAAGTCCCCCCTTCTCAACTTCAGCCATGACATTTTGTCAGTTTGGCAACTGCAAAAGAAAATTGATGAGAGTGGTCACACTAAGTGTGTGGTGCAGTAATGTCTTGAAAGAAAATGAGAAGCTTTTTTACATCCACCTTTTTATGAGTTGATTTATCCCAGTCTCTGCTAATAGAGTTGTATTATCAGTAACTAATGGAGTTTTGTTAATGGAGCTGAAGCCATAGCACAAAGATCTGTATGACTGGCAGTATGGTAAATCCCACCTCCAGAAGATTCACCGTGCCAAGATTACTATAACAAACTCCTTAAGAAATTTCTTCCCACGAATCCTTTTTGTTTTCTCTTGATGTCACGTCAGTGAGGGAGAGATAAAAAGAGTTTGCAAGTTTAATTCTGAGATTGCGAACATAAAGGCTTTCTAAACTTTTGAAATTTTATTTTGGCAAGATATCCTCAGAAACTTTTATCTCTTCGCATGCTTAGCTAAGAAAAACATCTAGTTCTGCTGTCTTGCTGCTGTTTGCAATTTAGTAAAGAAGAAACTTGAGGCATTCTGATCAATTAAATTACTCAGCTTAATCTTCTCTAAATTCAGAGTAAATTCTGGGGAACTGATGGAACGTACAAAAACGCATTTTACTAAAAGCACTCATTTAGATTATGGATGTTTTTCAATTTTATGTATTTATATGTAACTTAACCAGAGAAGTTAGTAGAGGTTTTTATGTGAGGCATTTAGTTGTATGTACAGTTTCACTATTTGGTACTTTCAGTATTGATCTTTGATTAGCAACATAGGCAGTTGAATATTAAAAGCATTTAGTGGTTTTTTTTAATGGAGTTTTGGAAATGGCAGGGATTACCTTTTGTAGTTTCTTTTGGTGTACTTAAAAATAAGTATTTTTAACAAGTCAGCACAGGGAAGAATTGTTGTGTCCACTCCCAGGTTTGAAAGACCCATTCACAGAGCATCTGTGAAAGCAGAAGAAAAGGGTACCAACCTCTAATCTGAGGAAATAAACCCATATGAAACCAAAATGAACCGTCTTAACATTATAGGAAGTAGCTGAGAAAAGGTAGTTTCTCTGTTTAGAGAGAGCATTTGTGATTATAAAATGGAGTGACCTTGGTTATGCAAAATATATCCAATGTGATGGAGAGCTGGTTGACGGAGATCAGGTTTTCAAATTTGAGATAAGGAGAACCTTGAATTATGTTTTTACTACCTCCAAGAGTGCAGTTATCTTCTCTTTAGTAAATACCTATCGGGGATTGAAGAAACTCATAACACATTGAAGCCCTGTTGAATGATTCAGGTTGGTGCGATCTGCTGATTATATTGTGTGGACATTAGTGTAGTGTCTGGCATAAATAAAAGTCTGAGGTTATTAAAATGGGTTAATTGCTGTGAGAGATAGAAGGGTTAGGCAAAATGGATCTTTTTCAATACAATCTACTTTTAAACTGTTGAATGACTGAAAATATTCTGTTAGCTCCTGACATGTTTCTTATGTGTTTATGAGCTCTTAAAAATATAATTGCTGTTCCCCTAGCGCTCCACTGTTTTTAAAACAAAACTCAATATAAGGAAGTAATCTAAACTGAGAATTAGCCATATAGAGTTAATTATTAAAAGCACAGTAAAAAACCAAATAATTTATGTAGTTATGGTATACCAAATACTAAAAAAAAAAAACGTTGTGAAAATAAGTGTATACTGCTGCAATCTTTAGTGTAATTTTAGAAAGAATAACTCTCCGCTCAGACAATACTACATATTTTGGAATATCATCTCTTGCATTCCTTGGAAGAAGTTGTCTTGATAACATGGTATGAATTAGAAAACAATTTTCAAGTGTGTGTTCTTCCTATGCATGGGTACTTCTCAACTTTATTTTCACCACCAGAAGATGCTTTTCTTTGGTTTTTGGATTGAAGTTCTAGCCTGGAAGTGTTTCTTATCAAACCTCGTAGGAACCTGGGAAATGCTTTACTTTCAATACATGAGAATTTTCAACATGGTAACATTAAATGTATGATTACTTGATCTCCCAATGTGATATGACTGAGGCATATACATGTGTTAAAAATTCTGAGACCAGCTGTGCATATTTGATGTGCTACAGGATAGTCATAATTAAAAGAGTTAGATGATATGATGGAAGCAAGCATAGGAAAGCCTCAGGCAAGCATCAGCACAAGGGACAAGAACAAATAAACAGGTTCCTATTCAGAGGGTTAAGAAAAACTCTTGCATTTTATTGTGAAATTTTACTTTGAGATTTTCCTCTTTAAATTCCATCTGTTTTTATAGAATTGTTTCTACATTGAACCATGAAGAAAGAGAAGAGTCATGTCCATGTTATCCTGTAATTGCAACATGATTTTATGCATACTGGTCAGGGTGATATTTGCATAATAATATGTCCATATGCAAATGTTATCTTGCTGGTTTAATTTTAGAAAGCAGGTAGAAGTATACTTAAGCTCATTGCCACTTTACTGGCACATCTGCTGTTTCCATTTCCATAGTTTTTTGAAAACTCATTTTGATAATAATGCAGCTGAGGAAAGTTGAGAGTATATTGTTTCCAGGCAATATCACTAACAGAACAAAGTATGATACATTATGTGGTACAGCAGTGTGCAGTGAACAATATGTAAACTTTTCAGATTATTTACTTACTATAGTAAAAGACATTTATAGAAAGAATGTCTCTAAATATTTTTCTTTGTTTTTTCTTTTTAAATTTGTTTTGTTTTCAGGCATTGCTATTTCTGATGAGCTTGATAAGGTAAGATTTACTGTATGCCTAATGAACTGTACAAAAAGACAGATGATTCTGATAATTTTAGACAATGAGAGCTGCATCTCCTTGTCCTGGCATACACAGTTAAGTTCTGTTGAGTTCAGAGCAAGTTTGGGTATGGAAACCTATATGGGTAAGTACAGTATATGTTGATACATTAAGAGGTTGATCCAGGATGAGATGTCAACTATGGGAAAAAAAACCTCACCGAGTTTAAGAGACTTTTAATGAGGCCATGGAAATGCTTTTGATCTTTGCTTAATATTATCTATTGGGTTACTTTGTGTACTTTTGGAAACATTTAATTTTAAATACCTTTTATTCATGAAGTCATGAATTCTACATTCTCAGATATGATTTGCGAGAATATTTGGGAATAATTTTTGCTCCCTAGATTTGATCAGGAATGCACAGAGCATAAGGATCAGTCTTTACATCCTTGCTGAATGCAACAAACAATGATCTCTTTTGTTTTGGCCCTTTTGATATACTACACAGTTAACATGAATTTTAGTTTTAGCTGTAATGAACTCTATGCTAAAGAGTAATCAAGCTAATTTTTCAAAGTTCCAAAGGAAACAGAACACCTTTTTCTTCCCTAGTTTCAGCAGCCAACAGCAGTATGCTTCTAGTGCCAAGAACCTTGAGTTGTGTTCT